CACAATGTCTCACACACACCAGCGACAGTCAAGAAGACAACGGCTTGCAGATAGATGGTCGCTAAGCAACAGGCAAGAGACTAAAAATATGGTTGCATTTCTTCACTCACTTAAAAAGCATGTGCGCACACATACACTCAGACACACACACACTCATTCGTCCTCCAGCAAGGCTTATCAGCCTTTAAAAAGCCTGCATTTCTAAATCAGTCCCAGTATTCTTGTGTTCCCGCGGCGTCAGCAGCTCCATTAACCTGCCCACTCATTCCTCAACTGGAAACTGTTACAGAAGCTTAAAGTCATTGAGAAACATATATTTTGGCACGGCAGACGTCCTGGCTCACCAGAGGCCAGGAGCCACGCCAACAAGCCAGTCATGTCAAAACTGGCAACCGGTGGATGACCTTTGTCGCGGAGGTTTTACTCCTACTGCGCCCTGCAGAGACGACTATAGCAGCTGAGACAATGAAAGGATCGGGATGGTTAGTCAGACAGTTTCAGCTGGTTGATGTATTCAAACACCATGTCAACAAGCATCCAGGGCCGTACACTAGCTGCGATTGACGACACTGTGGTCATATATTGTGTATTTTTTTTCAGGGAACTTTAGATGTGTGAGGAAAGATAACATTCAACAATTGACTCTCGCTATACGGACGACAATGTTGTTTAGCTGCAGACACTTAACATGCTGAAGTGTCTCTACAAGATCCAGGGCAGCTCCTCTGTGATCTGGAAACTTGTGTCTAATTTCTAGACAACAGTGTTAAAAAGCTAAGTAATATTCCTTTGAAGTAGAGAAAGAGCATTATAGCAGGTAGCTGATACAGGAGCTCCAAGCCGGAAAACATGTTATTCGAGGAACCATAGTAATTTTCACGACTGCTTTCGCAGATTTTCTACAGTTAAAGATTAGAATATTTAACTTTCTCTTTTACTTTATAGCTGACCGAGAGTGCGAGGAACTGGCGTTGCATTTAAAATGTCCCATTTGACTGGAGGGTTGACGCTTATACAGGCATTTTCACCCCAGCAGATCATTGCCCCTCTGCTCCAATTCCCCACTTATCTTCCATTTGTGCCAGCAGCGACTTTAACAGGGCTGCGGACGAGCTTGTGTTGTGTTTAGCCCGGTCACGACTGAGCTGGTTTTGTAAAGCCTGCATTTACATTGAGTTGAGAGCAGTGGGTAATTTGTCCATATTTAACAAGGCGGATGGTGGGCAGGTAAATTGTTGTTTTCAGTCCCATTTTTCTCTCAGTGAATAGGGGCAGAACAAATTGCTAAATTATTGTTTTATCTCAGGATCTTCCTTGAAGTTTACATCAAGCTTTGTGGGCAGTTGAGGAGAAAATGGTTGCAGAGAATTTTTCTTCTTCTCTGCTGTTCTATGCAAAGGGATTACATTTAATAGTTATCTGCACTAACAAACCATATGCCATCCCTTCTGGCCAGCTTCAGTCCAGCCCCTGGGCAAGGTCCACATAGCCATAATGTGAACGTGGATTCAACACAAACAATAACACAATGGTTTGATTTCATAAGATATGTGGCATCATTTTTGATCTCACATTCACACATCCAATCAACAAACCTTTTCACAAAAACAAAAAAAAGAGCACATATTTTGACACAGGCTCAAATATACCACTGCTTCAGCAGATGTATCTGTAGTGTGAACACCTTGATGAATTTAGATTTGCCAGTTATTCTTTTTTTTTTTTTACTGCAGCTAGCAGCTTGTGGGACTCGTACAATGCCTGCGAGGTAAAACCGCACACTGAAAATGAACGGTGATCTGTGACAGTGTTCTTCTGATAGATCTTTGGATAACGGAGCGACTTCTGATTTTTGTTTTGAGTACAAAGAAACGTCCCGACATTACAGCTGCTGCAGAGCAGTCGTGCGATATTTCAGCGCTGCCGTACATTTCCCTCAGAGCATTCGATTCTTGTCTCCGTCTGTGAATCTCTGGTTTCATGTTCACCATCTTACAGCCTTTTCCCCTGTGATAGGTTTTCTTTAAACGTCTTCTTGAACTGTTTTCCAGAGGGAAAAGGGAACATGGATTTTCCTTTTCATCCTCTGGGGGTTTTCCTTACAAAGAGGGGGACTTCACATAAATATTAAATTAAAATGAAATATCAGTGTTTTCTCACACACATCAATAAAAGTTTCTTATATTATCATGAACAATTAGAAACACTGGATATGGTCATAGTTTTCATTTGTCATCAACACTGCGGTCGCCATCATCTTCTTTGTCGTTGTCAAGGTCACAACCAGTGAGATCCTTCATTCTGATTGGTCCCAATTTTGTCTTGTTCGTTGATCTCCAGACTTTGTACTCTCCGCTCATCACAGTTATTTTGCTTTCCAACATCTTGATCCTCCATGTTACAGTCCATCTTCCAAACCACCTTCTTTAACGTTCTTTAGCTCCAGCTCTCCATACTACAGTATAGTTATGTCTTTTTAAGTTTTACAATTGCACGGTAACAACATCAACACGTGACGCCATTGAAGTTTAAAAAAAAAGGGGGGGGGGGGGGGGGGGGGGGGGGGGGGTTCTTTGTGGGATAAATGAAGCTGTTGATTGGCATAAAAGGAGAGGGATTTGGGGTTGGCTCAATTAAAAAGAGGGTTGGTTGGTGGTGACTACAGCGTTTCATTACCACAACTTCAACTTTAAGACAATTCCTACAGGGGAGATAAGAGTAAGGCAAGAGGGAGGGACGGAGGAGTGTTTACAGTCTGCAGAGTGTTCGTAGGAAAGAGAGAGTACAGTATGCGAGTGTGTGTGTGTGTGTGTGTGTGTGTGTTGTTGGGTGGAGGGACTATTTTGCACAGTGTATTCAACAAGAGAAGGGAAAAAGACCAATTGTCAGTTTTTATCTTGCCTCTTCGCCTGCAAATTAGTGAGTGGTCCTCCACAGCAGGTTCACCTGAGGGCCCCAAAGTGTGTGTGTGTGTGTGTAAGTGTTAGTGTGTGTGTGTTAGTGTGCGTGTGTTAGTGTGTGTAGTTGGGGGAAGAGGGCTTAAAAGTAATAAGTCATTGGTGGCATACGATACAGTTCAGTGGGTATAATGGGAGGATCCACCAATCCCGTGACGACGAGATTGTAAAGACAGAAAAAGAGAGAGAGAGAGTGAGGAGGGGGTGTAGAATGCTTTTGCCATCTGTTCTTCTTATTCTATTATTTCCCTGGTCTCTTCATGGACTTTATTCAGACCTTTCTCCAGTTTTGTTGCCTCCAGTCTCCTCTCTCACCTTTTCCCTTTTATCTTCCACCTTTATCATTCTTCTTCATCTTCGTTGTTTCCCTCAGGGGCCGGCTGACAGCTCTCCTTGTTGTCCATCTCTTCTACTCTCCTGCTGGTTTGGCAGTATACTGGAACAATATCAGCCTTGTATATACTATTAAACAGCGTTGTCCACCGATGATCATGAATGATTTAACACCTGCAATGCAATTTTTTCATTAAATAATCTCAATTTGTCATCACTGGATAGATGATGGGTCTCCTTTCAAGAGCTGCAAATCCAAAACATGTTTGGATATAGTTTGAGATTTTTTTGTGTTTCGTGAGGAAATTCGGCTTTTCAGGAAATAAATAAATGGGAAGAAAAAATCGAATCTGAAACACTCAAAATAGTTTTTGACAATATCGATCCACCTCCACCATTCATCTCTCGTCCGGTTCCGGTTTAAAGACTCCATCTCTCTCTCTCTCTCCCTCTCTCTCTTCATATTGGCAGTGGGTCTCTCTCCCTCCCCTTTCCTCTCCTCTCCATTTAAAATGGTAAATGGCAGTAGGCGTCCAGTGAAGCCAGCAAAATGTAAATCAGCCACATGGAGACGAAAAGCAGCGACGTTATCCTCTTGCATGTCCGCGGTCCGCCCAGCTCGCCGCCAGCCACCGATGCCCGCCGCCGATACAGCAGTATCATCACACACAACAGTGCCATGATGGTGTAGAGGGTGACGGAGAAGGCCAGGTTTCCCGGGTCCACCTTGAACACCTTGCCCTTGGAGCGCCAGACGACTGCGGCGATGGTCCACGCCACGCCTATGCCAAGGAAGACGTTAACGGCGTTGGAGCCAGTGACATTGCCAATGGAGGCGTCGGCGTACTGATCCTGGATGGCGGCAACCTTGCTGGCGAATGTGTCTGAAAGAGAAAGACAAAACTTTTACAATTTAGGGTTTCATCATTGTTTATGGCGTCATTTGTAAGATTCTTAATCTTACGTTTTTTATTGATCTTGTGTTTTGAAACTTTCTAGCAACTGTTTTAGGAACCTATGCCACATGAAGACATACAATATGGAAATACGTCTCATGAAAATGACTTTTAATGATTCTTTGTTAGTGTCTTTCTGACAAGCCACTGTGGAAGCGACCTCAAGGTAACATCGAGTGTGAAACAATGCACATAGAGTAGCTTAATCTCACAACCAGGATGTGGCATACATGTACTGAATGCAAAGACAAACACAAAAGACAAGCAAACGGGTGTACAAAGATCAAGGTATCAGGTATCATAGACGCCCACTATGAACCAGTTAGTGTAAATGGATGTCAGTATTTACAGAAATAATTACACGTTTAATAGATAAAGAGACAGAGAAACAGGCAGGGGTAAATAATACATACAGGTTATCTAGAAAAGCTGCTTGTCAGTATGAAGTTGTACTGAATATGTATTCAACAATCAGTCAAACTGCCACACTTAAAACCCATGTTGGAGATCATTTTCAGTCATGTTATTTTTCATCTGTATTCTGGAAATAAAACATATACATTTGACTTGGATTACTTTTTTATTTGTTCCGTTCTGTAATCCGCAGTTGTATATTTGCGTCAGCCTGAGACAGAACAGATGTAGGCCTAATTAATGCTTTTAATTGCTTTAGTTGCATATTAGTGGAGCTCTGTGGTGCTGAACAGATATTGGGTAAAAAGCACAGAGACTCTACAACTGGGTCGGCAGGGAACACCAGGGAAACAGCTGCCAGTTATTGTACGCCTGTAACGGCTTATTTCTATAAATAGACGAGTCTCAATTCTCATTTGACTGTGAGAGAGATTAGTTGAAATTCATATCCCAACATAAAAAAAAAAAAGTCAAACTTTCTTGGGGGGGATGAATCGTAATACCGCTGTTAGTAGACCGTAAAAAAACAAGTTTGTGTGTGTTGACACACAGGCACGTGAGATTGTGGATTTGAATCTGAGTCATGGAACTGCACATTATAGCTCCACACACAAATACACACCACTTACTACTGCTGGCACCACAGAAGAAGATTATACCCCCATTTAGAAAACCGTTGCATCATATTTTGCATATTCACCAAGTTTATAATGTTATATATTTGCCAGCCGTCGTGACTTACCTTCCTAAAGACCCTATTTACAAAACAATACGTGGTATTTTCAGAAACAGTGTTACCTGATTCCAGACCTCTGTTAGTAACTGTAATGTGAATTGGATCATGCCCTAGTACAAAGTAGTACTGTGCCAGTATGAAGACAATCTGTAATCACTACAGGATTCGTTCACCACTAACGCAAACCTCTTCAACATGTAGCAGTTCACGGCATTCAATCCTCCGATCGGCATTTGTCCTCTAATTGCCTGAATCTGCAAATCTGGTGTAAATTGGCTGGATAATCCTTTGAGGGTCTCCTTTGTAATAATGCAGAAAAGCATTTATGACTCAAAGGAGGGAAGGGTGCAAGTCAGGGAGTGGGAAACAAGAGAGAGGAGAGGAATGTCTGACAAGCTTTAAGGAGATCACAATGACACACATATACTCTACACACACACACTCACAAGGAAGCACACACTCCCACTGGAAGTTATAATGACCAAAGGGACCTGCCACACTAAAACTTGCATCACCTCGACAGAGCAAACACATTTTCAGCCAAACACACCTGGTTACCGCAGCACACAGGTCAGAATGATGGATGATACAACAGTGGAAACACAACATCCAATAAGAGGAGGGGAGCGAGGGAGGGATGAGTCCGGTAACACCAAGTCAGAATAATAAATTGACCGGGATGGGGCACAGGAGCAAGCGTAACAGATAAGTGAGATGGGATATGAGAATGTGAGAGAGGGAGGAGGGAACAGACACAACAAAGAAGAGTGAAAGAGATTCAGAACAGGGAAAGCAAGAAAAGCCAACAGATGAACATGTGACTTGTGATAGGACAAACACACTGATAATGGAAATCAAATCTGTTTTTACAGCCTCAAAAATCTGACACACGGCTATGGCTGCTGAAGGAATTGATTCAGACCTCGCCTCAAGCGTTGCAGGAGCATAGAGGAGTAGCAAAAGGAGCTTTTTCTATAAATCATTTGATGGAGAAAAAATAAAACGTCTGATGAGAGGAATGAGGCAGGGAATTGAATTAAAGCCTTGAGACCAAGCGTCCCCCTCCAGGCGGAGACCAGCTCAGGCTGAAGGCTCGGTGATGGAGCCGGCGTTTTTACAAGTCAATTTTTATTTCCAGCCGGCTTACTGATGCCGACTGCTATTAAAATCAGATGGAGGAGAGAGGATAAGTCTTCCTCTATTATGGGTTTGTTTGTTTGTCTGTCACATTGGAAATTTGGGAAAAATATGCATCACATTTCATATGCTTGACTGTTATGTAATGTCAGTAAGGAAATGTGTAGCATGCACAAAAGGTGAACTGATTTGCCTCCATCACTCGACACACTTATTAAAACACCCTCGCTCACCTGGCACTGATGTTCCCAGCGCCACAAACACCACCGCTGTCACCGAGTCCTTCAGTCCTATCGTGCAGCCGAAGTGTGACGCCAGATCGCCGGTGACTGCCGTCAGGATGCCGATGAGCGATATGGAGACGATGAAGCAGGCCCAGCCATTCCAGTACTCCGTGGGCGGGACGAAGGCGAACAGAACCTTCCAGAAGACGGTGAGGAAGTGCATGATGTAGTCGAAGCAGGACGGCAGCCGCTCTTCGCCGCTCTCCTCGTCGTCGTCGTCTCCTTTGGTTGCAGATGGCGATTCAAACGTTGACGAGAGAGACAGATAGAGAGGAAGAGCAGAGAGACAATTGAAAGAGAGGAGTGATGGACATAAACTATACAAGGTTTAACGTCAAAGGCAGGAGACAGATGGAGCTTTAGCAAGAATTTATCCTGATGCAGTAGGATAAAAAGCTCTCACATTAAAGGAAAAGTTATACTATGATAGTATACTTCTTCAGGACTGTTTGTCGGATAGCTTTGGAAAACCCCACACCGTTCCAAGGAGGAATAGGGGAGACTGTCACTGGTCGCCGCTGTTCACCAGAACAGCTAGTAATAACCTATCCGCAAATTGTTCATACAAATATCTTTAAAACTTTGTGCCAGGCCAGGCCAGCTGTTTCCACCTGCTTCCAGTCATTGTGCTGTGATATGCTAGTGTGGATCTTTTATCCCTCGCCAAGACCCACTGTGTTTCCTTAAAGCACGACTGAAGAATACTATGCTCGGTCTCGTGTTAACAAAGAAAAAATTGGGAAAAAGCCTGTATTGGATATTTAGGATCAGCAATGAAACCTGCACAACAATTACACCATCAATAGATCGATAGGAATGCAGCAAATGGTTCAAAATAAAATGCTGTTGCAAACCTAAAAGAAATGTACTTTTTTATCATCCAACAGCTTTTCAAAATTAAAAGACTGGTTTGTATGTGTGTGTGTGTGTGTGTGTGTGTGTGTGTGTGTGTGTGTTACCTGCACTGACAGTTACAGCACTGACAAACTGCTCCCTCCAGCTGCTGCTTCCCACCACCAAGGCCAGGTTTGTCTTCTTGATCAACTTATCTACTGTACTCTACAGACAGACACACACACACACACACACACACACACACATTCACAAAGCAAATAGCCAAGTGCATACAGACCAGGCAGAACAGGAAAGACATAACCCTCAAGTTGTTAATTCACTCGCAGTCACAGAGAACAGGAAAAGCTTTCATTTAGCATAATTAGCAAAACTCAGCTGACAAGACTTTGTGAGGAGAAAACCCTGCATAGTTTATTATTATCTAATAAGTGAGACACTACATTAGAAAAACGCAAGATATACTGTATATTAGTGGTCTCAACAAGAGATTTTAAATCAATTCCAGTGTTCACAATTAAGGATTTATATAATGGAATGTGATACTGGACCCAGACACCATTAAAAACATGCACTATTGCACAGTGGCAGATGGAAGAACTAGCATTGCATGCACAAGCAAACTAAAAAAGGGACAAAGATAGATAACCTTTTCAGACCACCAAAGAAGCGTATGTACTGCTCTCTGCACAGGCGCGCGCGCACACACACACACACACACACACACACACACACACACACACACACATGTACAAAATGACACAAATGGACAAAAAAGAAAATGAAATGTGCAACAAAAATATGATTGGGTATGAATCACAGATTAGAGACAAAATCATATGGAAATGAAGAGATTGAAAATGAAGCAACACACATGGCATGACGATGAGCAATGTAATAAAAGCTGAATGTGAGACAGACGCCTTTAGGTTATGCTGCATACAAGAAATGTCAAGTTGTCTGTAGTGATCCATGGCTAAATTATAAAACTGATCAAATTTGAAAATGCACTTCGTCTAATATACAATATTTATTACACGACAAAGCCAATATATTTTCTAATTTGCTGGATGAATGGTCGACCAACAACTTCCCTTCTTCTACAGCCAGTTCTGCACTGAAACAAGATGATGGCTCACTTTAAATAAATGATTTGCTTTCTTTTGCATGTCTGCCATCAAAATGACGAGCAGCTCATCAGAGAGTCCATTACGTGCTAACAGAATGACTCGTTCATCCTTTGGACCGGGGCACTTCCCTTCAAACCGGTTTAGATCCAATTTGTAATTGAAGTCAGTTCACTTTTTAGGTTAATATTCAATGCAGTTGACTTGATGGCAAACTGGTGGTTATTGTTATTTAAACGTGACTAGCCGGCGCTGCACTCTGCAGAGCTTCTAAAATACAAAATGAAAGGGAACACTTACACGCACATATGTACACATCTTTTAATGGAAACGTTAATACAGCACGCGCACGAACAAACACGCTTACCTTAAACTCGTAGGACTCTTCTATGATCACTTCTACTTGGGTGTTTTCGCCCAAACTGGGACAGCCCATCTTGGCCACTTCCTCCTCCTCTGCTCCCACCAATGGCTTGTTCTCATTGGAGTCACCTAGAGTGACCACAGAGATGAACGGGTCAGTGTTACCAGTAGGGTTGGTGTAACTGTGCAGAGGTTATGCAGTACCAACCTAAACAAATCCAATTAAAAGTAGTCATTCTTCACTTTCTATCTTTTGATTACCATATGCTCCACTCTTCATCCATATGTCTCCTCCCTCCCTCTTCACACACAGTGACAGATATTAATTGAGTCAGCTGTTATCAGTGTAGACCTGCTGTAATTGAAAAGCAGTGTGCAGGATGTGTGTGGCTCGGTGTGTTTCTGTGTGTGAATGTCAGTCAACGAGCTTTGGGACGGTCGTATTAACACAATTATATTTCCTCTGTAATGAAACATGCCACAGGCTGTTGGCTCTGTATGCCTGACATTGAGAGTGTAGACCTTTACACCACTATGGTTTGACACCTTTTCTACAGCTAGAAAGCTGTTAGATAGTTAGCACTGTCTACAAAGGGAGCGTTCAGGCACAGTATTCTTTGTCTTTTCTGTCATCTTGTAAATGTTTAAATTCAACAGAAATGTCAAAGCAGAACAAGCTGCAGAAATTGACTTATTGACTCTCGGCGCTGGTTCTCTTTAGCCTTCAGTCACCTGCCAAAGATTAGCTGTCTGCCTGCTGTAATGAGCCTTTTAAAATTTCAACTGAAGCTTTCTACTTTCTTAAAAAGTTGAAGGGCTGACATGTGACGGGCTCAGGAAAAGGAAGCTGTCATTTCAAAAACACCTCACAGCTTAAGCCCAGTGTTCTTAAAATCCTTTCCAAGCCACGTCCGTGGTTCAATGTGAAATCTTTCCCAAGTTAATCTGACTTCAGATCGGTGGTTTCAGACAATCAATGCAAGTCTGACACTGTTTATAAGAGACGTGTGTGCAGGAGGCCCCGAGACTTAAATAAAGACTCCATTCTGTCTGTCACTGTGTTCCCCCTCCTGGCTTCTAGATATTGTCTGTGAACAGCCACACACACACACACACACACACACCCACACACACACACACACACACACACACACACACACACACACACATCAACACAAAGACACCCACCGTGTTTCTGCCCTATCTCCAACAGAACAGGCTCTCCCAGCTCGATGGTGAAGGTCTTGTTCTTCTCATACTCCTCATCATCAATTATCTTCACCTCGATGATCTTCCTGTTAAAAAGCGAAGAGAAGGATGAGACTCGGCGAGTGTATCCCAGATCATTAACCTTTATAGTTTGAAGCTCTCCCTTATAATAAGAGTTTTCATAGCTAATGTATTCAGACCAGTCCATTAAAACTGGGAAAGTCTCCCCCGTCAGAAAGTAATTAGACAGACAGGTCATTGCTGCTGCTGCTACAGGATCTCCTGACTATCAAAACCTATTAGCTAACCTTAAGTAACAAACAAGATGCATCACAAGAAAATGAACAGCCTCTGAAAAGAGGAAGTTTGAAGCCCAAGTTGACATTGCTCAGTGGGACACTATGTGGCTGCTTTCTTCCCCTCATTATGTTTTTCTCCAGTTGATGGTGATGCAATGCACCGCCACACTTGAGACATTTTTTAGATTTTAGGAGCACCCAGGGGAAAGCCCTAATGCAGCGAAAAGAGTTTTAAGGCGGTGCGTACCACAACATGACTGTAACAAGTAAATTGGAAATAAAGCTGTGGGGGGTATAAAAAAAAAAAAAAATAAAAAAAAAAAAAAATATATATATATATAGCAGTGCGAGCAGTGTCTCAGTAGACTGAGAAAAAAAGATGAAATGGCATTGTTATTACATCTGTCAGTGTATTTACAGGCAGAGAATTCTTTAATGTGAACTTTGATTGGAAGGTTTTAAAAAACACTTTATTAGACAAGAAAAGTCAAAGATATTTAACATACCGTATATTTGTCAATCTATCGTTTTAGGAAAAGAGTATTTGGAAAAAGTGGAAAGATGGATGTCTGTCAGCTGGATACTTTAAGGATACACTAGACGTAATAAAGAAGGCTGACAGTTAAGAAAGGATTTCACTGCTGTCGAATTGGTGCTGGTATTGGCTGATAATGTCTTCAGTATGAATAAAAGAGACCTTTTGGTCCTTCCATAAGGAAATCACATCTGTTTGGCCTCCTTCCGGTCTGTTTCACGCAGAGTATATAATCTTCATCAACAATCCATCTGTATCTGACAGATAAAGAGGAAGAGCGAGTGTTCATTTCCACCCGGTTGTGTCATCATATGCTTCACTGTCAGCCATGTTGGCTCCGACACCACAAATAGGCTTCGGCTCAACAAAGAAAAACAGGAAGGAGGAGGGGAATGTGAGAGAGCGATGGCGGTGACGTGTGGAGAAGTGGAAGCACATTGTTTTCAACGGTGAGCTGTCACAGCAACAGAGGATAAAACTGGCTGGATTTGCTATTTCCAGCATCACATCAGGTTGAGCGGCCAACTCTGAGCAACGGTCGAAAAGATATGAAAGTTGTTTCGTCAGATGTGAAACAAGAGAGGGAAGAAATAAAGTACATGTATATCCATTGAGTGGAGGATGAGGGGGAAGAAAGAAAAGTTTTCTTTTCTTTAAAATAATTTCCAGTCATCTGTCTGTAGTAACATGTTAGCAGAAAAGGAAAGATTGACAGGTGTAGCAACAGTAACTACAGGGGGCGGGGCTTAACGTGCTGCCAACTAACAGTGAGTTGGAAGAGGAAAGACAGAGGTAAGAGAATAGGGACTGAAAGAGTATGATTAATGCATGGACTCCACTGAGATGTGGAGGGTTACGACTCAATACACACTCACACGCACACACACACACACACACAAATCATAATACCTCCAACGGTCAGGAGCATGCACACAGTGGATATGTACACTCATGTTTTTCATGCCGCACATCACACACATTACGCAGTCTGTGGTTTGTATGAACAAACAGCCAGCCCCCCCCCTCCTTTGTGCCCACGCTCACTAATACCATAAAAACCACACACATACACAAACAATACAGTACAAAAACATGATACCTGTGAAAACATGTTCCTGTTAAACACTTGGGGGATTCATACACATATGTATTCATTAATTTAGCCAATTAACACATGCAGACAACACACACACACACACACACACACACACACACACACATACTCGCTGCAGTGCTTTCATTATTCATAGTTGGTGCTGGCTGTTGCAGCTCTTCCATCTGTGCCCTTCTCTCTCCATCTCCATCTCAGCCCTTCTCTTTTAGTCCCCTCTTACCCTCATCTTCCCATTATCACATAAAGATGGCAATGTAATTCCATCGTCCAGTTGTTCCAGACTGAAATATCTCAACAACTCTTTCATGGATTACCATTACATCTGGTTCAGGTCGTCGTGGTTCCCAGAGGCTGAATCCTAAAGACCCGGGTGATCCCCATACTTTTCCTCTCGCACCATCATGAGACATTAAAGTTTTGAGTGAAATGTTTGAACAGCTGATGGAAATTGGAAATTGTTACAGAGGTTGACGCCCCCCTCAGGATGAACTATACTTGCTTTGGTGATTCACAAACTTCCTATCTAGCATATTCAGGTCCAAATGTTAATTTTCCAATACTGCAAAACTAATGACATCCCCGTTGATGTTTTCCAACGTGAGTGTGCAAAACCAGGACTAACTTCTGAGGGAAGCGTAGTTTGGTTTTGAGTGTTAAGGTGAAGTCTCTCCTGCTGAGTCGTGTACAATTTCATTGCAAAATGATTCCAGATGTGGACATGCACTCCTGCCTTCATAAAATACAGATACACGCCTAAAAACAATACATTGCTTATCTTATAACATTTCTCTCTCTCTGTCTTGCCTTCTTTTTTTATTTCTACCACCTGCTCCCCAGACAGCCTCAATGACCTCGGTGTGTCAACAGACAAAACACAGATACACACATACCGAGTTCAACCAGCACAGAACTTGCACTGCCAGAAATAGAAAGTGAAAGAAGGCAGAGTGACAGAGTGAAAAAAGGTCAAAAAAGGGTATTGTTGATTGAAAAGCCCTGAACAGAATCAAGACGGCTATAAATCAATTTAATGGATATGTTTCATATTGCCGCAGAGAGTGTGTGTGTGTGTGTTTGTTTGTTTGCATGTGGCTCTAAAGTTCTTACGGAAGTGAATGATTGAGCCACAGTTTGATTTGATTAGTTGAGACCTCATCGCATTACTTAATGGAACTCTCTTTATATCTCTGTCTCCATCTCTTTCCATTTTCCTTCTGGCTCCACTTCTACTTTTGATTTACAACCACTGGAAGCTGCGTCTGTATGTGTGTGTGTGTGCGCGCGCGAGCGTGTGTGTTTATATGTGTTTTCAGGCATTGAAAGCCTACCATATTTGCAGGTGCTGTGGGCCTGTGTGTGAGAGACAGAGCACTTTAGAGAACCACAGCAAACAACTCATTTCCTTGAGTGAGGTTGATTTATAAACACACTCACGTTTTACCGTTTCTCCTTCTGGCGGAACCTCTAAATCTGTCTCTCACACACACACACACACAAGTGAGAGAATTCCCGCTACACAGTAAAATAGAGATCATAAAAATGTTATAGAACAATGCAAGCCACAAGGTCATTGTTTTCCTTAAGCTAAGCCCCTCTGCTTGGCTCTTTAACGAAACAGTGAGAAAGATGGAGAGGATGAAGACATGCATATTCTGCAGATGACCACAAGGATTGTAACAGTCAACAAAAAAACTGGATTACAGTGATTTGATTACAGTCCAGATACCTGTGAGGTTATAATCACATTACACTTACCCTACTTGATTATACGGACAGTATATGGAGTTAATGCACTGTGAGCTGCAGGCTGCCAGCTCAAGCATCTTTTTTCTACTTTCACTTGTTTGGTAAAAAGCTGCACTAACCATAGAGTGTATATAAGAAGTGGAATTGGTCAGCGTGATGTCACTCATTTGTTCGTGGACTACGGTTCTGAAGCCTCGAGTTCAGCATTTTGGCCGTGGCCATCTTGTTTTTTTGGAACCAAAGGTGACACAAGAGAGTGAATGTAAGTAACAATGGAAAACCGAACAGGACTTTTTTTAGGCAACCAAAAATGTACAACTAAGTTTCATGAACGGGAAAACACACTGTGTTAAATTTGTAAGACGATTAACGTAGACCACTCTCAGACCAACGGACGCCGTGTTAATTAGAAGGTTAGAGCCATGCTCTTAAGTATACCCTACTTTATCGTCTATTTAACTCTAAGTGGAACATCAATTTACCAAATGAACCTCATTGAATTATGTTTACTGAGGTAATACATCAAGTGAGAAGTGGGGTCATTTTCTTAGAGACTTCTATACAATCGGACTTCTTTTTGCAACCAGAGAAGTCGCCCTGTGATGGCCTTTTAGAAAGAATGCAAGTCTAAGTCACTACACTACACTAACACTTCAATTATGTTAATTGGCAACCATGACATCCAGCTTTAGAGATCAAATCTTTTTTTTTTTTTTTACTTCATCAGTTGTGCTTCTAAGGATACAGCATTCACTGAACGAGTATCAGCATCCAATGCGTCTTTCTGTGTGAAGTTATATCCACATCTGACACTTCTAAATATGACAGTTTGTTTGACGTTCTCCTTCTGCAGAAGTACCTGCACTTCACTGCCTTGACGTTTTTTTAGCGTTTGGAGTTTTATGTGGATCATAAAAGGGCATGAGACGTGGTTCATTCTTCTCATCTGAATGGCGGTAGCAAAACCAACAAAACAATTTGAGGCAGGCCAACTGGGAGAGTAGAAGAGAGAGAGAGAAAGAAAGCTCTAAGGGAAAGATATTACCCCTCTCAAGCATATTATGGAATGCTTAATGAGAAACAACACAAAACACACACACACTGTTTCTCCCACATAAACACTCTAAGTGGTCTCCAGCTGTGGTGAGTAATAAAGTTGCATCTCTGGTGTGTGTGTGGGATGACAGAGATGGATCGGTGCATGAGATGATTTGAGGTTTGAGGTTTGAGGAGAGGGACAGAGGAAGATATGAAGCGGGAGTATAGGCTGAGAGAGAAGGTAAGAGAGGAAGGACAATAAGATAGAATGCGGCAGATGAGGAAGAGAAGATGAAGCGAGAGAGAAAACAGACAAACTGAGAAGAGACAGTAGGAAATGAAAAGATAGAGGTT